CTTATCACATGCATCATTGGTGAATATGTGCTCATGCTCTAGGAGATGTATCAGAAAATTCTGCTCCTTGAGATGTCTGAGATTTTACTACCTATGTTTTCGTCTAGGATTTTTATGGTTTCATGACTTAGATTTAAGTCTTCTATCTGTTTTGAGTTTATTCTTTGTATGGTGTAAGTTGGTGGTCTTGTTTCTTTTTTTTCACGTAATTGTCCAGTTTTCCCAACTGGACAATTGAATAGATTGTCTTTATTCCATTGTGTGCTCCTTGCCTCTTTTGTAAAAAATTAATGGACTATAATGGCGTTAATTTCTTGCATATGTTCTGTTCCATTGATCTATATGCCTGTTCTTGTGCCAGTACTAGACTGTTTAGATTACAATGACTTTGCAGTATAGTTTGATATCCAGTAGTATGATCCCTCCAACTTTGCTCTTCTTTCTCAAGATTGCTGCAGCTATTCAGGGTCTTTTTTGGCTCCATATACATTTTTGGAATATTTGTTCTAAATCTGTGAAATATGCCAATGGTATTTTAATAGGGTTTTCATTGACCCTGTAGATTGCTTTGGGTAGTATGGACATTTTAATGATGTTAATTCTTCCAGTCCATGAATACGGTATATGCTTTTACTTGTTGGTATCTTCTTTTTCTTTTTTCAATTTACTATAGTTTTCTGAGTATAGGTCTTTTATCTCCTTGGTTAAGTTTATTCTTAGTTATCTTTTTTTTTTTTTTCCTTGCATTGGGAAATGGGATAATTTTTTTTAGTTTCTTTCAGACATACCATTATTGGTGTATAAAAATGTCATTGATTTCTGAATGTCAATTTTGTATCCTGCTAGTTTGCCAAATTCATTTATTAAATCTAGTAGTATTTTGGAATAAGAGAGGTGAAAGCAGATATCCCTGTCTTGTTCCTGTTGTTAGGGGAAACACTTTTAGTTTTTGTCCATTGAGTATGATGTTGGCTGTAGGTTTGTCATATATGGCCTTTATTATGTGGAGGTATGATCCCTTTATTACCACTTTGCTGAGTTTTTATCAGAAATGGGTATGGATTTTATCAAATGCTTTTTCTGCATTTGTTGATATGATCATGTGATTTTTATCCTTCATTTTGTTTATGTGTGTATTACATTTATTTATTTGCAAATGTACCAACCTTGCATAAACCCACATTGGTATATGATCTTTTTAATTGGTTGCTGGATCAGATTTGCTAATACTTTGTTGAGGATTTTAAAACCTGTGTTCATTAGGGATATAGGCCTGTAATTTTCCTCCCTTTGTAGTGCCTTATCTGGTTTTGGAATTAGGATAATGCTGGCCTCGTAAAAAGAGTTTGGATGTCTTCCCTCCTCTTGAATTTTTTGGAATAATTTGAGGAGGATGGGTGTTAGTTCATCTTTGAATGTTTGGTAAAACTTGCCTGTGAAGCCATCCCACCCAGGACTTTTGTTTGCTGGGGGTTTTTTGATTACTGTTTCTATTTCATTAGTTGTTATTAGTTGTTATTAGTCTATTCAGGTTTTCTGATTCTTCCTGATTGAGTTTTAGAAGATTGTATGTTTCCAGAAATTTGTCCGTTTCATTCAAATTGTCCATTTGGTTGGCATATAGTTGTTAATAACATTTTTTTTACAATCCTTTGTATTTCTGTGGTGTCAGTTGTTACTTCACCTTTTTCATTTCTGATTTTATTTAGTTCCTCTCTCTATCTGCTTATGTTCCTCTTTCTCTCTCTTATTACAACAGTTCCTTTAGCATTCCTTGCAATGCTGATTTGGTGGTAATAAACTCTTTTAGTCTTTTTTTGTCTGGGAAGCTCTGTATTTCACCTTCAATTTTGAATGATAGCCTTACTTGATAGAGTAGTCTTGGTTACAGATTTTTGGTTTTCATTACTTTGAATACTTCATATCATTCCCTTCTGGCCTGTAGTGTTTCTGTTGGGAATGAGCTGACAGCCTTGTGGAAGCTCTCTTGTAGGTAACTGACTGTCCTCTTGCTACCTTAAACTACGTTCTTTGTATTTAACATTTGCCATTTTAATTATGATGTTTCTTGCTGTGGTTCTCTTTGTGTTCATTTTGATTAGGATTGTGATTCCTGAACTTGTGTGACTTTTTCCTTCATCGGGTTAGGGAAATTTTCTGTCAATATTTCTTCAAACAATTTATCCCTTCCTCACTTTCTTTTCACTCTGCTACCCCTTTAATGTAGATGTTGCTCCATTTCATATTTTCCCACAGTTTTTTTACACTGTCCTCATGTTTTGTTTTGTCTTTTTTTATCCTCACCTGATGACATCTTTCCATTCTTACACTGTCCTCAGCTTATTCTAATTTACTGTTGATTCCTTCCAGGGTGCTCTATATTTTAGCTATGTCATTATTCATTTCTAATTGCTTCTTATTCATGGTTTCTATATCTATTTTCATGCTGATGTAATTCCAACTAAGTTCCTTGTAGTTCTCATTAAGTTGTTTGAGCATCCTTATAAACATTACTTTGAACTCTATATCTGATATTGCTTGCCTCCATTTAATTTAGCTTTTTTTTGGAGATTCCTCTTGATCTTTCATTGGGGCCTGTTTCTTTGTTTCCTGATTTTTGATGTTTCTTTGTATTTCTTTCTGTGTATTGGATAAGACTGCTATGCTTCGCATTCTTGGTGGGTTGCCTTCTTGTATGACCCAGTGGTGTAGTCTCCTTGATCTTCTGAGCTAGGTGCTCTAGTAATGACCCGTATGTGAGTTATGTGGGCTCTCCTGATAAATTTGGACCTTAATTGCTGTTGTACTGTTTGTGGGTGGGCTCAGCCCTCTGGCTTGTTGACTGTGTGTCTCAACCCTGACCACATCGTGCCAACTGTTATATAGGTGTTGACAGTACAAAACCAGACCAAATTAAAAAAAATACACACACAAACCCAAAACAACAACAAGAACAGTGACAACAAAAAGATTGAAAAACAAATGAACAAACATACACACACACACACAGAATACTAGAAGACACTAGTCCAGAAGAATTAGAATAGGAAAAAAAAGAGAGAGAGAGACTATCAAATCCAAGAAGGAAGAGTCCAGAAATAAGATAAATATAAAAAATAAAAGATGGGGAAAAAATTAATGAAATAATGATAATTTTAAAAAGTTATAATATTGAATAAAATAAAATATATAATAGGAAAAGAAAAGAGAAAGAAGAAAAAAGTTGAATTAAAAATAAAGAGAATGAGGAAAAAATAAACTAGAATGAAAGATAGCAATAAGAGAATATGGAAAATTAAGGAGAAGAAAGAGAAAAAAAATCCAAACCAAACAAGAACAACAAACAAACAAAAAAAACTTTGGATCTGCTATTTGTGGAGCTTACGATATTTTGCCCTAATATAGTTGGTCTGACCCCTTGGTGTGTGGATCCCAGGCCTCCTGGGCAGTTCTCTGGTGCAGGCCAGTGTGAGTCACTTGTCCCTACCTGGTCCTGGTCAACCTGGTTGAAGTCCTGCAGGGTACATCTCCAAGTAGTCCAGTGGACAGGGCCTCCCTAGCCCAGAGGCTGGGTCTGCTTTGGGAGACACTCCTTGAATATCCTTGTTCTAAGCCGCTTTCATTCCTCCCCTAGAACTGGGCACTGCGGGGATATGTAGTCCCAGACAGGATGGTTTAAACAGACTTCATTGGCGGGGGGGGGGGTACCCTTGGCTTGTAGGAGGGATGGACGGGTACTTCTTCTATTTTCAATGCCTCAGCTCAGCCTGGATCACTGGCACCCCCTTGTCACCACCCCAAGTAGGAAGGATAACAAAACAAAACACCCCATCCCCTTGGCTCTATAATCTTTCAGCACGGTGGGTTCTCGCTGCAGGGGGCTTCTGCTTAGGCTCTTACCAGGCCAGATGTCCATATCCCCCGTCACAAGGCCCAGACACATGGGTGCAGTTTTCTAGCCCAGGGCCATTCCACAGGCAGGGGAAGGGAGACACCTCCTCTTCACTGGAGGTGGCGAGGATTGTGCCTCTTTCCCAGAGCATTCTGATGGGCCCCCATCCAGTTCTCTGCCGAACCTATTTCAGAGAATAATTGGCCCCTCAGATTCACTGCTGGGTGGTCCATTCACGGCCCTCTGCTGGATCAGAGCTCTGCTGCGTGGCCCCTCCTGCAGACACTGATTAGGGCAAGCTTCCCAGGCTGGTGTTCTAACCAAGCACTCACTCTTTGCCTAGGAGAGTATGGTCTGAATCCCTCCGGTGGACTGAATCACCACTGATTTCCACTGTCCGATGCTACATGGGCCCCCCTTTGCTTTTCTGTTGCTCTGGTTTGGGGATCCCTCGTTGGGGCTGAGACCCGACACTTCCAGGGGGCAGGAGCTGCGCTGCCGAACCTTCCCTCCGGCTTCCCAGCTACACTACAGGGCTGCGCAGATTGGCTCACCCATTTTGTGTTTTCTGTCTCCGCTTGGCGCTCCCCACTCACAGTATTTCAGATCAGCTATTTTTCAGCTAGTTTTTCAAGTCGAGTGTTCTGCAGTTTAGTCACAAGTCCGATCCAGTGCTGGGAGCAAGCAGACGGAACTTCCTTAGACTGCGGCCATCTCCCAAAACACCATCAGACAACTGATTTACTTTATTCCTCTGAGGCCTTTTTTAAAATTTAAAGTGTTAATTATATTATCTGTCTTGCCTGATTTGTTAGGCACATTGTGAAGTTATAAAGAGATTAAAAATATATTCTGTAAATTCTAAAGTCTTGTGGAAGTACATGAAGAAAACATAATTCTCTTCAGAAATCATCTTTATCCATAGGTAAAATTGAAACAATAGTCCTTGAGTTGTTTCTATATTTGTGCTGGTATTTTAATAGCGTTGATGGCCGACACATTTAAGATATTTTATTCTCACAGACTTTTTAAAAACACTATTCTGTTACTAATTTATTGGGAATTAAAACACTATCTAATGACATTTTTCAAATAATTTCTTTACCAGGCACGGATGGGCAGAAGCCTTTGCAGGTATCAGAAGTTCACATATCAAATATATCTGCCCTCATGCGTAAGTATTGTTTTATTGTTGTCAACCCTAACCCAACGATAGTTTTTTCCATTGATTTTTAGAGAGTGGAAGGGAGCGGCTGGGAGAGAAGGAGAGAGAGAAAGACATCGATGTGAGAGAGACACATTGATTGGTTGCCTCCTGCATGTGCCAGGACAGGGATCAAACTTACAACCCAGGTATGTTCCCTTGACCTGGAACCAAACCCTTGACCCCTCAATGTGTGAGCTCTAACCACTGCCCAGGGTTGCATAACTTTTTAATCTTTTGGCTCGTGATTCATTATCTGGAGAGGATTATTGTAATATCTTTACTTTTCTAGAAAAGCATGTGAATATAATTAATTTTTATCTTTTAAATATTCAGTTTAAAAATAAAGATAAGAATACACCTGAAACGAATGCAAAATAATACTGAATGTAAACTGTAATTAAAAAAATAAAATTTAAGCCTGGCTGGTGTGGCTCAGTGATTGAACATCGACCCATGCACTGAAAGGTCGCTGGTTCGATTCTGGGTCAGGGCATGTGCCCAGGTTGTGGGCCAGATCCCCAGTGGGGAGTGTGAAGGAAGCAGCCGATTGATATTCTCTCTTCATGTTTCTCTTTCTCTCCCTCTCCCGTCCTCACTCTCTAAAATCAATAAAGAAAAAAAAATTAAAATAAGTAAAAAAAATAAAGATTAGTGCTTGGCTGGGGTGCTCAGTTGGTTGGAATGTCGTTCTGTGCACCAAAAAGTTTACATATTCGATTACTGGTCAGGGCACACACCTAGGTTGCAGAGTCAATCCCTAGTCAGGACATGTACAGTAGGTATAGGCAACCTATTGATGTTTCTCTCACATTGATATTTCTCTCTCTCTCCCTCTCTTCCTTTCTCTCTAAAAAATCAATAAACATATCCTCGGGTCATGATTAAAATAATAATAATAAAAAGTTTAGTAAATTCTTTATAACTAAAAGAGTATCTTGGTTTTTTCGATCCCTGGTTGATCCCCAGACAGGGCATGTACAGGAGGTATAGGCAACCTATTGATGTTTCTCTCACATTGATACTTATCTCTTTCTCTTTTTCTTTCTCATTTCCTCTCTCACCCTCTTTCTCTCTCTCCCTCTGTCTCTCTGTTTCTCTCTCTTCCCCTTACCCTCTCTTCCTCCCTCCCTTCCTCCCTCCCTTCCTTTCTTTATAAAAAACCAATAAACATATGATTAAAATAATAATAATAAAAAACAAGGATTAGTAAATTTTTTATAACTAAGAGAGTATCTTGTTTTGTTTTTTTTTCTGTTGAGAAATTTAAAATAATGCTCTCTTGGAGGCAGTTAAGTTCACAGCCAGAAACATTTTTTTAGATATACAAATGTTTATTAAGTTCTAAGGATATTTATGATCTTTGATGGGGATTTACCTGCTAGATTTGTGAGAAATCTTTATGTTGAAAACACTCCTAAGTTTTATTGATTAGAGGCAATGTGTAATATGCTGTGGAAAGAACACAGACTTTGGAGTCTAATAGATTTGGTTTAGAATTTTGACACTGTTTGTGGATGTCAAAGAAACTAGGAAGTTTTGAGCAAACTCAGAAAATCAATAAGTTGGGCAAGTTTTTAGGTTAAAGGCTACTGAGATGCAATAGCCACGGAGAAGACAAATGGATTAATTAAGTACCTGCTAGTAGGTTAGTAATTCATCCTTAGAAGTGGTTGTAGCAGTAGAGGTGATAAATGTGAAAGTGGAACTAGAAAGAGGAAAAATACTTGAGATTAGGTAAGAAAGCAGTCCTTCTGTTTCCAAGAAACAGAATTGTTGATTACATTGTTCTTGGCTCTAGAACTGAATTTGGTTTAAGTCTGTTTCTCAGCCTAGGAAAGTTTTATTTCTCAAAGAAATTTTGATAAGATTTTATAACCTCTAAGGTATACTTGTTTCATGACTCAGGAAAACCTAGTGGTGAGATGTAGTTACAGTGTATTTATTTTTCTTTCTTTTTGTACCTAGTTACATTCAGATTGTCCAGCAAATTTTTCATCACAAACTTGAATTGGGTATAATGAACACTGGCAAAACTTATATTTCTCTTATTTAACAGTCTCTTAAGCAAGCAGATATTTAGCTAAGAACTATAAAATAAGGAAAAATGTAATCTGAGCATATGGGAATTGATACTACAGTATCCGTTCAATAAATTGCTCATATCCTTAGCCAGAGTTTCATATTTTATACATTTCCAACTGTCTTGACTACTGCTTTACCTTTTCATGTTTGGTTTGCAAGTGTTAAGTAAGGGTGTTGAGAAAGAAAAATGTTTTTTATTTGTCAAACTTAGTTCTTTCCAGCTGCTGGAAAGAACACACTTGGAGAGTATGCAAAACTGAATTAATTACACAGTCATCGATGCAGTGCAACATCTCTGATGTTAGAATCATAGCATAGTTTTACATAAGCCTCAAATTATTATCTTTAATTGATGGAATTTTATCAGGTTTTATGCTTTGTTAAATTATTCTTATTTTGCTGCTTTTTTTTCTTTTCATGTAGACCAGTTATGGGTGTAACATTAAATATGAACATGGCTATGCCTTCTTGGTAAGTAAGAATTTACTTATTCAATAAGAACTTTTTATTTATACTTAGTTTTCTTGATCGGAAGTACTTTTGTGTATAGCAATTTTTAATTAGTTATTTTTAAGTTGCAAAGTTATCTGATTCACTTTAAATTTAACCTTTATTTAATTATTTAAGTTTTTATATTTTAGATTCGGGGTAGACTTTAGGAGCTGCACCAACAGGTAGAGAAACAGGCGAGAATGGGTGATGAGAAAGACTGCAGAAAGTATCACCTAGTGCTTGATAAATCTTTACTGATTTCAGTAACCAAACATTTGAATGACTCCAGATGGCTATTACTCTGATTAAGCCATAGCCTCTTTACCCTTCAACTTCTTCCCTTTCTGGAGAGTTGGTGAGTTTTTAAGGAAATCATTTCCTTTTGGGCCCTCTTAAGAAAGTTTGCATTTCATATGCTGTATAGTCAGGAAGTAGAGTCAGTTCTTCATTCCTCTGAACCACTTGTAAACTTTGGATTTGTTACCTGCTGCTCTCTGAGACTCCGGCCACAGGTCTCTCTTTTGTTTTTAAATCCTCACCGAGGATATTTTTTCATTGATTTTTTTGATAGTGTGGGAAAGAAGGAGGGTGGGAGACAGAGAGAGAGAAATGTCAATGTGAGAGACACATTGATTGGTTTACCTCCTGCACGACCCTAACCGGGGCCGGGGATCGAACTTACAACTGAGATGTGTGCCCTTGATCAGGAATCAAACCTGTGACTCTTCGGTCCAAGGGCCATCGCTCTAACTGCTGAGCCAAACCATCCAGGGCCTGCCACAGGTGTTTGAAAAAAATGATGACTTTGACACCTGATTAGTATTTTACTTTCCACTCTATTTCATGCCACCATTTTATCTTTTGGGTGACTACAGGATCCAGTGTAAATGACTCATTCACAACCTTGACTGGCTTGTTACTTCCTTGGCTCTTCTCTTCCGCAGTGATATTTTCTTCTCTCACCTTTGGTCATCCACAGTCATCCCTTGGGCCTTGTCATCTAGAACTGTGCCATCTCTAAAGTCACTTAATTCAAACCAGATATTAAAAATAATTACTCATCCCTTGACTTTGCTTCACTATTTCCACACTACTTGTTCTTAGGCCTCATCAAGAATTCCAGTCAGCTGTCCTCTCTCCTTTTTCCCACCCATCTGTAACCATCCCTGCACTTTCTTTTTTATGTACATTAGATTCACTGGCAACTTTTACAAGTTCCTGCTTACCTTGGTGTTTGGTTCTTTCACCTTCCCTCTCTGGCAAAACTCCTGTCCAGAACCAAAATTTCTACCTAATGTCTCTGGAGACCATAAAAAATGCATATAACCTGATAAAGAAGGAGAAAGGGCCAAAGGAAAGCTTCTCTAGGTCTCTGGTTTGCGGTATCTACAATATGTGATGAAAAGTTTTGCAGAGTATGGATAAAGATCAGTATAAATCACTATGTTTAATAGGTATGAGGTAGTGCATGCAAGGGTGACATAATAAAGTAGCTCTATTTTATTGGGTTGACCTATGATGCAATAGAAGAGGAAATTAGTAGCTGGAATTTACTGCAAACTTCTTAGGAATGTGGGTTAAGATGCCTACTTGGGTAAAAGATTCGACGAGGTAATCTCTTAGATATTTTTATCCTAAAATTATGTGGCACTGTGACTTCTTAACATTAGAATCTATATCTAGTTGGGATGAAAGGAATTTACAGAATATCAAATTCACACCTTTTTTTTTTAATCCTCATTCGAGGACTTTTTTTTTTCCATTTTTTGTTCAGACAGAGTGGGAGGGAGGGAGAGAGAGAGAGAGAGAGAGAGAGAGAAACATCGACATGAAAGGGACACATCGAGTGGCTGCCACCCGCACGACCCAACCAGGGCCGGGGACAAACTGCAACCGAGGTACGTGCCCTTAGTGGGAACCAAACCGCGTCTCTCTGGACTGCAGGCCGATGATCTAACCGCTGAGCCAAACCGGCCAGGGCCAGATTCACACCTTTAATTGTTTTGCCTCTGAAGACATTTTGAATTTCATGTTCTAGAGAATGTTTGTCAGCCCTTCCTATCCCAACAACCATGAGTTTAGTAAAACATATTTATCAAGAGTAGATATTCTTAGAATCAACTGCTTCTTTTAAGATTTTGCCGTATTTTCCAGGTTTGACATTATTGGGCTTTCACCAGATTCACAGGAAGATGAACCTGGAATTAAACAGGCAGCAGAAAATGGTAAGTACAGAAACGTTTTATAAACAAAAGCATTCTTAATATTTGTAGTAGATTGAATAGTTATATTGATGTTGATGAAATATTACACAGTTATTTAACTCAGGAGGTGATGCTGTTTCCTTCCTTTCTAATTGCTCTCTGACTGGTTTGCTGTGATGGCCACATGGACTCACTTAAGATGAGGTGCACAGGGAGGAATGGCAGTTATTAAGCTTTAGCTGTCAGATAATTAAGTTTGCTTTGGGTTACATGTCAAATGGAGAAAATAACAAAATGTTTAATAGTTGTGGCCAGTTATTGTCATTAAGGAGACTTGAAATAGGGATGAAAATGATGATATAATGATGTAATGCTATATAATGAAAATTATATTAATGGTTAATTTTAGTGTAGTAATATTAAGCAAGCCAGATAAATCATCTCATTTAACAGTCATATGAAATAAGTATTAGTTCTATAGACTCTCCAAAGTCTGTTCTCTGGTTAGTATTCCATGCTCCCTTATGAACATGTTCATTTTGCTTATTTTTTGGGTAGAAGCATAAAAAACATGGACTTATTCAGAGAAATCTGGGTTTAGAAAATGCACAGAAACATCCTTTTCTTTTATATATATGTATTGAAATGTTCACAAATAGACAATGTGATGACTGGGATAGACCTCAGAATAATCTGGGTGATGACATAGCAGGCACTGATGAAACAAGCCTGGCTAGGAATTGATAATTGCAGAAGTGAGGTAATGTGTGTCCAGGAGTCATTGCACATTTTTTCTACTTTTATGCTTCTTTGAAATTTTCCAAAATAGCTTAAAAATCCCAAACCAGTAGGATCTTTTTAAAAATGCTTAAAAAACAATTTTTAGAAGAACTCTTAAGAACTTCAAAACAGGAAAAAAGGTACATTCAAAACACATTTGATATTTAGGAATGTCAGACTGGGAACACTGACTTTTAGGACCATCAAAAAGTAGATAAAAGCAGTAATGCTATTGCTAGGTATTTGTCAGAAAATAACAGATGAGCCTGGCCAGTGTGGCTCACTGGTTGAGCATCGACCCAAGCACCAAGAGGTCGCTGGTTCAATTCCTGGTCAGGGCACATGCCTAGGTTGTGGGCCAATCCCCAGTGGAGGGCATGCAGAAGGCGGCCAGTCGATGTTCTCTCTCATCGATGTTTTATCTCTCTCTCCCACCCTCTCCCTCAAATAACAGATGACAAAGACACATGTTGGCACCCTGGCCAGTTTATCTCAGCAGTTAGAGCGTTGGTCCTCAGACCAAAGCGTTGTGGTTTGATTCCTGGTTCAGGGCACATACCCAGGTTGCAGGTTCAACCTGGATCGTAGGGGAGGCAGCCAATGGATGTGTCTCTCTCTCATCAATATTTCTCTCTCTCTCTGTGTCCCCCCACCCCTTCCTTCCACTCTATCAAAGAAGCAATGCAAAAATATCCTCAGGTGAGGGGAAAAACAAATGTGTTGGGTATGGGAGTGAGTTGTGAGACCAGTGGAAGATAGGAGCTGGGCTTTGGGGAGAAGACAGGTGGGCCTGGTGAGTTCCATAGTGAAAAAAGTTCTGTCCTAATGATAGAATTGGCCGATGACATACTTGTGATTTCTTTCCTCTCCATGGCGATGTAATGTTGGAGAGCATTAGGCTCAGATTCGGAGCTGGGAAAGATAGGAATCTCTGAGGGCTGAGAGACTGTGCTACTGAATAAAGAAGAGAGTGCTCGGGTTAGGTCCAGGGAGCACAGTGGTTCCCTTGCCCTCATGCAGAAATTAGAACTCCACACCTCACTGCTGCCATTGTAGTTTGTTAACTTTATCTCAGCAGTTGGTGTAACCATGGCGTGTAAAGCTTTGTGAAATTGAGGGAAAATACAATAGCACCTGACTGGCTAGCAGCTAACATTCACCAAGCCCCAACCACAGCCTTCCCTCCTCACATGGGCTGTTTCTGCCACGTGTGCATCTTTCTGAGGCTGTGCAGTCTCCCCTAAAGAAACCCCTCATAATTCTCAACAGTTCTTTTACCTCTTAAGTCTTTAACGTTTTCTAGCCTGTTCTCCATGCCCTAGTCAAAGTATCTCAGCTTTTCATACTAATTCTAATGAAGAACTAAACTGGATACAAAAGCAAAATAATTTTTAGTTTGGGCATTTGGGTATTTTGTAGTATTCTAATAAAAGCATATTTTTGGTTTTTGATAAAAAGGAAATTTAAAGATAGATATTTTAGTCTTAAAATAATGGAAGTCTTGCATACATGTCAAAAATGAAAGAAGGTAACTTTGTTAAAGGTGCAGTTATTCACAAAACTCAGGACTGATTATAAAGAAAAGGAAATTTGAGGAGGTATCAAGTCTTACATTTAATGATGAGTGCCAATGCCAATATATTTTGCAGAAAGAAAAGAATTCATTGTTTCTTTTCTTAATGTCATTTATTGGCTATAGGGAAATAAAATACTGTGGGTTTTTTGGTTTTTTTTTAGAAAAAATATGCTTGACTGGTGTGGCTCCATGGATTGAGCATTGCCCCATGGACTAAAAGGTCCTGGTTTGATTCCGAGTCAGGGCACATGCCTGGGTTTCGGGCTTGATCCCCAGTGAGGGGTGTGCAGGAGGCAGCCAATTGATGTATCTCTCTCACATTGATATTTTGATCTCCCTAAAAAATCAATAAAAATATATTTAACAAACTAAAACTAAAATAAATAATAGAATGAACTGTTTAAACACTGTTAATCACAAACTGTGCAATCTGCTTCTTAAAATTTTAAATTACAACTTTTAGGTACAAATGCATGTGTTTCCTTGAAGAGAGAGAAATATAAAATGTATATGAATAGAAGTGGCCACACATAAAAGAATATCCATATATTGATGAGAGAAGTAACTGTTGTTTATAAATTATATAACAAGAAACAATTGAACAGTGTAAGCAGCACGTGCAAAATCTGAGTTTTATAATGAAATTGCATTCTAGTTTTGTATTTTAATAGAATACTTCAAGTTTTTCACTTGTTTTGACCTTTAATATACTTTATATTTTTCTGTCATTATTTTTTTTGTATTTAAATCTTATCAATGGCCTTAACTTTGAAAGCATTGGTAATTTAACTTTCATGTTGTTTTTAGTAAAAGCTTTGATAGAGCAAGAGGTGAAGAATGGCATTCCTTCAAACAGAATTATTTTGGGAGGATTTTCTCAGGTAAGATAAAGTTTGGATAGTGTGTCAGTACCATCAGTACATTTATCAGGAAGTCAGTGGTTTCAGTCCTTTTCTTTGGAGTCCTTTTTAGGAAGATATTATAGAAACTGATATACTGCTTATCTTTAATGCTGAATTAAGTTTGATTGGACTAGAAATAATTATTAATTGAGAGAGTACTTCATACTCTTTTGCTTTTCTATTTTACTCTTTTCATTAATAGCTTTACCATATAGATTTTGTCTTGAAAGTCAATTTATTAAGTAAATTGATTGTAATCTGGAATGTTAACATTGTCGCCCTTTAAACAAAACCCTAAATACAGGTATAAGTCCCCTGTCTAGGAGGAACCTACTGATGGGAACAATAAGGTAGAAGACAAGAGAATTTCTTCTCTCCCTTTGCCACAGATTCCCACTGGTTGAGCCCCGCATATTCTTCTATAATTCCTGTGGGGCAGGATCAGACTAGAGGCTCCCTCAAAGTGACCTACAATGCTGGGGGTACTGGTTGTCTCACCTGGGATCTCTTTTCCCACTAGAGGAACGAGACTCAGGGAAGACCTCTCTGTGTGGTGCTGTGCTAGCCTCGAGCAGAGGCAATGAGGTCAACATGTAGCTGCTGCAGTCTGTCTTGTCCTCTGTGGTGCATGGGGTTCGGCAACCTCACCCGTGTTCAGATTCTCTCCGTGATGTCTTGTTCTTGTATAGTTGATGGTTGTTCTTGTGAAGGGTAGGGAAGTTAGGAACAACCTATGTTGCCATCTCGTTGATGTCATTCTATCCTCTCTACTCTTGTCATGTAAAATAGGTTTCAGATATAAATATATGATGTTTATTTTTGGCATCTTCTCTTTCTCTACCTTTTCTTCTACCTCCTATAATTTTTCTATAGGCACAGTTACCTCATGTTCACCTTACATCTTTATTTCAACTTATCACCTGTGTGCCATGTCACCCATCCCCAAATTGCTGTAGCTTCTAATCTGTAAACTTTCTAAATCAACACTTAGTGTCAGTGTGAATTAGGGCAATATCAGAATTAAGGAATTATTTAGGAGTTAGAATTCAATAGAAAGATAGGTTGTTGTTGATATAACACAGTAAAAAGATAATTTGCTATTTGTTGAAATTCATAGAAAATATACATTGTAATACACAGTGTGACATAAAACATGGGTAGAAAAACGAATGCTGTTTTAAATAGGAAGTAAACATAGGAGTTTGTATATTTGAGACTTGTTGATCACGGTTTAAAGAAACCAACTCCTACTACCTTAAGCAAGAAAAAGTTATGAGTCTGTGAGATCACAGGAAACCAAAAATGAGAATGAAGCAAGGCCTCAGGAGATAGTTAGGACTTGGAAAGCCATCACAGCTTCTCTCTCCATTTTCACCTCTGTTCTTCTGCTCATCTGCTCCATCTGCCTCTCCATCTACAGCTGGTTGTCTCAGCTTTTGCAGCCTACAGTGTTTCCGGTTCTCCAGTTTACATATTGGAGTTCCAGCCACACAAAGAAACAGACTGAGAGTCACTGAATCCCAGTTTTAGAATCCTGGGAGAAAGAACATGACTCTCTCAGATGAGAAAGGATCTCATGTATCCATGTGTCCCAGTGACTCATGGGCATGGTCAGAGTGACAGGCCTCTAGATAACTGGTGGGACTGCAGTTCCCAGACTGCAGAGTGTTGTGAGCTGGGCAGGCTGATACTCTAAAGTATCTGCTACATAGTCTTCATTATCTTGAATTACTGTTTTGGAAAATACCAGTTTAAGACAAGATCTGATTTTATCCTAAGACTTTTAAGAGGAGAAAATAGTAACTATAAATTCATAATGTTCCCAAGGCAGTTGTAAGTGCAGCAGTTGCCTCTACTATTAACTATGTCTTGACTGACTGGGTAGTTGGCTGTGTTCTTACAGTGGTCCTCAGTGTAGAGAATTATGTGCTTTAGGACATAATGGGGTATGTATATATTTGTACTTGTTTGCTTGATTTGATTTGACAACAGCCACCCAGTTTGATTTTTTTTTTTTTAAATATGTTTTCATTGATTTTTTTAGAGAGAGAGTAAGGGAGAGAGAGACAGAATCATCAATGTGAGACAGACACATTGATTGGCTGCCTCCTGCATACCCCCTACTGGGAATCAAGCCCGAAAACTGGGCATGTGCCCTGACTGGGAATCGAACCGGGGCCTCTCAGTCCATGAGATGATGCTTAAGCCACTGAGCCACACCGGCTGGGCCCAGTTTGAATTTTTATGGACATTATTATTAATAACAAGAAATCTCTTTAAGTTGTTGTTAGCAAAGGATGTGTTCTATTGACTTTCTCTGCTTGTCTTTCCAGGGAGGAGCTTTATCTTTATACACTGCTCTTACCACACAGCAGAAACTGGCAGGTGTCACTGCACTCAGTTGCTGGCTTCCGCTGCGGGCTTCATTTCCACAGGTAGTCTGACTGATACTTGCAACATTAGATTACTGAGCTAAGAGATAGATAATGTTGGGGAGAGGGTTTTTTGTTTGTTTGTTTGTTTTTTAATAAACGTTATTTTTTTAGAGTAGTTTTAAGTTGAGAGCAAAATTGAGTGGAAAATACGGAAGTTTCCACAGCCTCCCCACTATAGACATTTTACAGTACAGTGGCACATTGGTTACAATCGATGAACCTACATTGACACATTATCACCCAAAACCCATAGTTTACATCAGTTACCCTTTTTTAAAAAGAATTTTCTCAGACTTTTGTGATGTATTACTGGACTTTATGGGTACACTACATTGTCTATATTGTGGATTACATAGAATGGAATAAGAAATAAGTCCTATTGTCATAAATCTTACATTTAAAGTGTTTGATACATTTGAAGATATATATAAAAATTAGGGCTATTTTCTTTTTTTTAATCCTCACCTGAGGATATTTTTCTGTTTATCTTCAGATAGAGTGGGAGGGAGAGAAAGGGAGAGAGAGAGAAACATCAATGTGAGAGGGACACATCGACTGGTTGCCTCTCAGATGACCCCAACCAGGGCTGGGGATGAAATACAACTGAGGTGTGTGCCCTTGACCGGAATCGAACCTGTGACTCATTGGTCCATGGGCTGATGCTCTACCGCTGAGCCAAACTGGCAAGGGCAAGGCTATTTTTTACATATAAAAATATAGAAATAGTATTCGAATGTTCAGTATGCTCACTGTTTGATAGCAGATTTTGCTATATAAAATATAATTTCTAAATACCCAGCAGTGTAGAGCAGTATATAGTATACGTAGGAGATGTAGACTTTATTTTATTTTCAAATTCATCTTTAAATCTGGGTTTCTTTTCTTGTCACTATATAGTAGCTCTTTGGTTACATAGTAAGTGCTGTTTGTTAACTGCATAGTAAGTGGAGTTTGTTGTTCCACTTATTTACGCATTCATTGGTTTTTATATGTGTCCTGACCTTGGATTGAACTGGCAACCTTGGCTTATTGGGTTGATGCTCTAACCAACTGAGCTACCTAGCCAGGGTTTAACTATCTTATTTAAATTAATTAAATAAGAACTGAGAAGAACATGGTTCAGCTAAAACATAACCTCTCGTGTCAGGACAATGCAAACAGATAAAGAATAGAATCTGCTTCAAGGAACCAATTTATTGGAAGAACATATTATATGACATGGTAATCAAATGTTTTATAACAGTTTAAATAAGACATGTGGAGAATATAGGGATGGAAGGAATTTTATTTCTGTGGCCAAATATAACTTGTAAGTAATAACAGGTTGTATGCACATTTCTATCTATAGTTTTAAATGCCTGGGTTAATGCTCTATACATTTGAATAAATAATGCTAGTTTTGTTCTGTTTTTTTTTTTGCAGGGTCCTATCAGTGGTGTTAATAGAGACATTTCTATTCTTCAGTGCCATGGAGATTGTGACCCTTTAGTTCCCCTAATGTTTGGTTCTCTTACTGCTGAAAAACTAAAAACATTGGTAAATCCAGCCAATGTAACCTTCAAAACCTATGAAGGCATGATGCATAGTTCATGTCAACAGGTAAATGTTTGGAAACAGTGATTAGAGAGATGAAATTTGCTTCCTTTTCCATGTGATATTTTAAGATAAATAACATTTGACTTTTGGGGGCTTTAAAGGAGTTAATAAATTCACACTGAGTCATAGGTTAGTAGGATCAAAGTTTGTTCAATTTAATTCAGCAAACCATTCACTGACTTCCTATTACATGGAAGCATTGTACATAATTCTAAGACGAAAAATATTCCCTTTTATTAAAATTCGAAATGGTTAATTATAATAGGGGAGAAGGATGTATATCCAAGTAACTATATAGAAAGCAGATGTGATATTTGTTATATTAAAAGTTTTTAACAAGTTCTTTGAAAAACAGGAGAGTGGGATTAATTTTATCTTAGGAGACAGAGATCATGATGAAAGAACTAGATTTTGAACACTCGGTAGGATTTAGATAGCAAGTGTGCAGGGGACAGGAAAAGCAAGCTGGCCAGTTGGGCTGTAGTCTTATGAAAAGCTAGGTGTCATAGAATAGAGACAGAGAGGAGAGACTCAATTGTAGAGAGCTTTTTATGTTGTGCTGAAGATGGACTTGTTTTCTAAGCAGCAGAAAGCCATTGACTTTTATTTTTATTTTATTATTATTATTTTTTTTTTATCCTCACCGGAGGACATTCCTCCATTCCTTTTTCAGATAGAGTGGGAGGGAGAGAGAGAGAGAAACATTGATGTGAAAGGGACACATTGAGTGGCTGCCACCTGCATGACCAACCAGTGCCGGGAACAGACTGCAACCGAGGTACGTGCCCTCAGTGGGAACCGAACCCGGGTCTCTCTGGACCACAGGCCAACGCTCTAACCGCTGAGCCAAACCAACCAAACCATTTTTTAAATCAAAACAGGATGTAATCTACATTCTGGAAACAAATAAAGCAGAATCCATTAGAATTTAGTGACTAAATCTATGGAATAGGAAAGAAGGAAGTATCAGTGAGGCCTTATATTCCTAGCACAGATGATTATGCCATTCATAAAGTAGGTAGTACAAGGAACAGTTTAGGGTAACAGGAAGGAGATATATTGAGTTTAGCGAACATATAGGGGGATTAATATCAAGGTGGGATATTGGAAATACTTGTCTGAAACTCAAGCCTGTAATAGAGATTTAGAATAATTACCAATATTATTATCATTTTAGTTTTTATTCTCACCTGAGAACATTTTTTCAATATGTTGTTCAGATAGAGTGGGAGGGAGGGAGAGAGGGAGAGAAACATCAACGTGAAAGGGACACATCGAGTGGTTGCCACCCACACGACCCAACCAGGGCCGGGGACCAACTGCAACCGAGGTACGTGCCCTTAGTGGGAACCAAACCCAGGTCTCTTCAGACCGCAGGCCGACGCTCTAACCGCTGAGCCAAACCGGCCAGGGCATTACCAATATTATTGATCAGTGAAAAATCACCATGGGAGAATATCATGAGAAAAAAAGCCAAGGGATGGAACTTTGGGGGAATTAAAAGGAGTTAAGTGTTGAATGAGAGGACAGGAGAGAATTTCTGAGTGGATGGGAACAGTAACCTATGATTCAAAGAATGATTAAGGAGAAATAGACCAGGAAGAAACTATCCAATGATAAGACATTCATGACCTCAGATGTTTGGGGAGATAGAGCCAAACTGCAGTGGGTTATATGAAGTAGACAGGGAAATGGGGAAATGGAGGCAACATGTATTAACCTCTTAAAAAAAAAAGCTTTTGGTAAAGAGGGAAAAGAGTAGGAAGGTCTTTTTTACTAGGATGGAAGAAAGAGACCCCATAGATGGGGAGGAAAGAGTAAGAAGATGCCATAAAGAGAAGGTAATTGATAGGGGAACTTCTTAGTGGGATCATATAATAAAGTCCTGAAATGGGTAGGAGTTGCCTTAAAAGAGGAGAAAACACTTTTGAATCAAGATAGAAGAGGATGGATGAACATAAATGGATTGTTGGGGTATAGAAGAAAGTAGCTGAGAGCCCACATTAGATCCTTTGAATCTTTTGTAAAGTAGGGAAGATGTGGTCACTTAATGAAGGAGGTCTGAATGATTTGGAGGCTTACAAAGTCCTAGAATAAAAATTGGTGGCTAAGCACTGAGGCAATTTATGTTAACATTGTTTTGCTACTAACTGTTCAACCTAGCTAAATCATTTGCTTTAGGGCAGAGACAGCAGGTAGTAATATGAGTTATCCAGAAAGACCAGGGGCTTGAAATGCTAGAGTGTTATTAAGAACATAGTTGAAACTATCATAATGGTTCCTTGTTTTTGTACTTGTTGGTCTACAGACTTTCTGTAATTAGAGTTATGGAACAGGTGGCATACTCACAATTTTCTTTTTCTTTTAAAATAACCTTTTGTTTTTGTAGAATCAATAAAATTTAAAAAAGAAAGAAACTGTCATTAAGTATTGAATCCAGGAAGGGAGGTAGCACTTGAGCATCCAGGAGGGACTGAGGGTTTAGAGCAGTGGTTCTCAACCTTCCTAATGCTGTGACCCTTTAATACAGTTCCTCATGTTGTGGTGACCCCCAACCACAAAATTATTTTTGTTGCTACTTTATAACTGCAATTTTGCTACTGTTACGAATCGCCATAGGAAATATGTTTTCAGATGGTCTTAGGTGACCCCTGTGAAAGGATCGTTTGACCCCCAAAGTGGTTGTGACCCACAGGTTGAAAACTGCTGGTCTAGAGCATTGGTTTTCCAAGCAGATTTTGTCTTATAAGGACCCCAGAGCTTAATAAACATACAGACCCCCCCCCCCAAACTTCAAACCCAAGTGATTCTTATTTAGTACATTGGGGGTTTGGGATTGAAGTCAGGTATCTATGTTTGTATGTAGATGTTTTAAAAATAAAAGTTCCTTAGATGTTTCTTTGTGCAATCACATTGGAGGACATTGGATTGAATGATTAGGAGCAGAAAGTGAGAAGAAGTGAATGGTGGGACGTGGTGTGACAGGAAACTCATGGGACTTTAGAGTGCTGTAAAATAGATGAATTTTGTGCTTTGGCTTTTTTTTCTGACTGACTAAATTACAAAGTTAAAGGTTCTCTGCATTGCTGATTTGTGGGTCTGTGAGGCTAAGCCTTGAAATACTAGAGATGATAGAGGATATGAAATGTCTTTGGGGAAGTGAGATAACTGAGCAACATGTAGGGGTCTTCAGGGAAAGGTTTTTCTGTAATAAATATTTGGTTATGTTAATTTTCATATCTTGTCAGGCTTATCTAAGGTACATGCTATCTTTCTAATAGCTGATTATATCAAAACCCTTATCAAAGCAAAAAATATTTTATGCTATGGATTTAGCATTTCATTTTCATGAGAGTGTTAAAAGCTAGGCTTTTCCACATATACAGAGTTGGCATTCATTGTATACTGCCTGATACTTCTTGATATAGGTATTGTCACTTTTAAACCCCCTTTATCCCACCTCACCCCCATGTTTTGTTTATTCAAGTATAGCAAAATGCAGACTATATTAATGGGAGTAGATAATAGATGTGAACCATCATTGAATGTACAGTAATAAACATAGAAAGTGATGTGAAATTTCTATTGGAACCTGCTTTCTCTATTATGTTGTAGTAAAAATGTTTCACCTTATGTATACACACCACAGATTTAGTTAGTGGTATTTTCGTGGGGATTTAATTTCTCATTTGTGTAACTGCTTATTAAGTCACTTTATTCCAAACAGGAAATGATGGATATCAAGCAATTCATCGATAAACTCCTACCTCCAGTTGATTGACATCACTAAGGGGCCTTGTGTAGAAGTACACACCAGCATCATTGTAGTACAGTATAAACCTTTTCCTGTGCCCAGTCTTGAAACTTATAATGTTTGCAGTGTTAAAATGTTTTGCAAATACACACCAATGACACAGACTAAACAATGATCTCTTTATGGGAAATTTATGATCTTTTAAGTTTCAATAAATGTGTTTGTATAATATGATCCAGAATATACTAGCACTAAAACAGGTGAAGCAGTTAGCTTCTTTTTCCCAAATGTAATTCAGCAAAATAATAAAATACTTCAACCAGATTTTCTATTACATCATTTGAAAATTATTAGTATGCTTAATGAAAACTTGTTCAGGTATAAATGAGCAGTTAATGTTTAAACTATTTATGAATGCTGTGACAGTCTATGGAATTATCCCAAAATTACTTAGTCACCATGCAGTATCTATATTTTTTATATATGTATTCAGATATACTTAATGTTTATAATACATAAAAAGAATGAGGTGTTATTACATTATTCCTAATCATAGGGATAGTGCTTCTTAAGTGTCAATAAAGAATAATATTGCTCTCTTCAATGAATGGCCCTTTTATTTTGGGGACCAGGCTTTTCTTTCCCTATTACAATTTCTTTAAAATTATATTTATTGATTGATTTTAGAGAGAGAAAGGGAAAAAGAGTGAAACATCGATGTGTTCCATCAATTATGCATTCACTGGTTGATTCTTGTATGTGCTCTGACTGGGGATTGAACTTGCAACCTGAGCATATCGGGACAATACTAACCAACTGAAGTATACAGTCAGGGCACAATTTCTTAATATCTGTTTTCCTCTCTAGAAATGTATTCTTTCTTTTTATCCTTCATGACAGACCAAATATTGCCTCCTTGCCATAGACATCTGCTGTCAATACATGATGTAATTTGACATTCTGAATCACAAACATAGTGATATTTAAAATGTATTTATACTTATATAAAGAAACTAAACATCACTTCAAACTTCCTACATTACTTGTTTTTTAAACTGTACCTCAGTCCACAGTTAGACCTATATAGTTATTAGACTCTTCAGTCCAGGAAGGAAGTAATTCTGTGGTTGTATTTTTCTGTAATTAACTCAAAGAATTATAAGGTCATGTTCTAGTATGTTCTGGAATATTGAAGATTAATCTTAAAAATGATAATTTCTAAGATGATTTGCTCTAAGGTGATTCTCCTTGTGGCATAGAATTTTAGTTTATGTATTTTGTACATATGTTTGAAATCAGCTACTGTAGGAAATGAACAATTAGAAAAATTTGCTTTACTTTTATCTGCATTGTTGACTTATTTGAAATTTTCACTTTAGATGATTAAAACTTGTGCAAACATAAAAGTAGCAATTATTTGATTTTAAGTAGTTGGAATTTTTAGATTATTGTTTTTAAAACTATTTGAAAACAAATTCATTGGCCATAAAGGTTAGTTAGAACTCAATACATATGGTATAGTTACCACACAGTTTAATATGTAGCAAAAATATATGCTTCCTATTTTTGAACTGTTTATTTTTCTTCTGTATTCCAACTGACTAAAACAATATTAGGAGTGCATCTTTATAAATGGGTGCTAATTGATAATGAAAATAATTTAGTAATGGACTATATAGAATGTTAATGATGAAGCCATATGTTTATGTCTGGATATAAACATTTTAAACAATCATTTAATAAGTCATTTTTATTTACCTTGATGAATATAAACTTGTTTCAGTTATACGAACCAGCAAGATATGATTTATGGCAAGAGATATTCCATTCAAATGTGCTGTAATGTGGAAAATGTAAATCTTTTCCGTGGTTTCTATCAATGTGAAATAAATTTAATTCTCACTTTTCTTTGACTCCTTTTTTGAATATTGCTTTTAACATTTGGGTCTACCTTGGAATGACTGTCTATAATGAAAAGTTGGAAAATGACAATGAAATCACAAGAATATACATAAGAGAGAAGTAGAATGGAAGCAGACATGAGAAAAGCTTCTCTTGCTATGCAATTTTTTTTTTTTTTTAATCCTCACCCAAGGGCATTTTTGCATTTATCTTCACATAGAGCAGGAGGGAGAAAAAGGGAGGAAAAGAGAGAGAGAAACATCGATGTGAGAGAGACACATCGAGTGGTTGCCACCCACAGGACCCCAACTGGGGCCGGGGACAAACTGCAATCGAGGCACATGTCCCTAGTGGGACCTGAACCCGGGACTCTGGTTCGAGGGCCAACACTCTAACCGCTGAGCCAAACCAGCCAGGGCTTGCTATGCAATTATAATCAGCTAAAACAAGTCCTGCTGGTGTGGCTCAGTGGTTGAGCATCATCCATGCACCAAGAGGTCACCAGATTGGTTGATTGCCGGTAAGGGCATGTGCCCAGGTTGTGGGCCTGATCCCCAGTGGGGGGCATGCAGGAGGTCGCCAATCTAAGCTCTTATCTCTCTCTCTCTTTAAAAATAATAATTAAAAAATTTTAATAAGCTAAAAACATTTTGTTTTTTATTACTCCTAAACCAGCTTTTGTTTGGTGTTTCCTCTTGTCTTATCCTTTTGTATATTATTTCTGAGATTTTTAAATTAGTGTCATAAATCAGTTATCCAAATATTTTTTTCTTTTTAAAAGAGAATTTTCTTTTTCAATTACAGTTGACATTCAATATTATATTAGTTTCAGGTGTATAACATAGTGGTTAGACATTTATATAACTTACAAAATGATGCCCCCAATACGTCTTGCACCCATTTGACACAGTTCTGACAATATCAATGACTGTGTTCCCTAAACTGTACTTTACACCGCCATAACTATTATGTAACTGCAAATTTGTATTTCTTAATCCCTTCACCTTTTCCCTCACAGCCCCCCAGTCCTCCTCCCATCTGGCAACCCATGTTTTTCTCTGTATGAGTTTGTTTCTGTTTTGTTCATTTATTTTTTTTATATTCCACACATAGATGAAATTATGTTTTTGTCTTTCTCTGACTTATTTCACTTACCATAATACCTTCTAGGTCCATCCATGTTGTTGCAAATGGTACAATTTCACTCTTTTTGTTATGGCCGAATAATATTCCATTATCTGTATGTACCACATCATCTTTATCCATTTGACTTAAAAAAAAAGTTTTTATTGCTTTTTTAGAGAGAGAAGGGAGAGAGAGATAGAAACATCGATGTGAGAGGAAATCATCAATTGGCTGCCTCTTGTATACCCTCCACTGGGGATCAAGCCCACATCCCGGGCATGTGCCCTGACTGGGAATCAACCCGGGACCTCCCAGTCTATGGGACAACACTCAATCCACTGAGCCACACTGGCCAGGCTCCATTTGACTTTAAAAAATTTTATTATTAAATTCATTGAGCTGATACTGGTTAATAAAATTATATAGGTTTCAAGTGCACAATTCTATAATACATCATCTGTTTTGCATTGTGTGTTCACCAAAATCAAATCTTAAGTCACCATATATATATTTTAAATTTTGATAACAGCTTTATTGAGATATAATCAACATACTATACATTTTACTCATTTAAAGTGTCTTCTACATTCACAATTATACAGTCATCATCAAAATCCATTTTATTTTTTATTTTATTTATTTTTTATCCTCACCCGAGGACATTTTTCCATTCTTTGTTCAGGTAGAGTTGGGGGGAGAGAGAGGAACAGAGAGAGAGAGAGAAACATCGATGTGAAAGGGACACATCGAGTGGCTGCCACCCGCACAACCGACCAGGGCCGGGGACAAACTGCAACCGAGGTACGTGCCCTTAGCGGGAACCGAACCCGGGTCTCTCAGGACCGCAGGCCAACGCTCTAACCGCTGAGCCAAACCGGCCAGGGCTCAAAATCCATTTTAGAACATTTTCATCACACTAACAAGTAACCCTGTGCCTTTTAGCAATCACCCTATGCCAGTTTCCACTTACCCCACTCTTCCTAGCCCTAGGGATCCACTACTGTACTCCATCTGTATTGTCTGTTATGGACATTTCCTCAGTGAAATCACATAATATGTGGTCCTTCATGACTACCCTTTTTATTTATCATAATGTTTTAAAGGTATGTCTATTTGTAGCATGTAAGACATACCTTTAAAACAGTACTTCATTATTGTTGAATGACATTTCATTGTATAGAACAAACACATTTTTTAATCTATTCAGCATTTGATGGACCTTTGGGTTGTTTCATTTTGGCATTGTTAATAATACTGCTTTGAATAATCATGTCCAAGTTTTTTTTTTAATTTATTTTTAATTTTTATTTTTTTAATGATTTTTATTACAGATGTCCCTCCTTTTTCTCCCACTGACAGCCTCCTTCCTGCTACCCTCCTCCACCTTCACACCTTCACTGCACTGCTGTCTGTGTCCATTGGTTATACATATATGCATGTAAGTTCTTTGGTTTATCCCTTCTTGCCTGACAAACCCCCTTCCATGAGGTTTGTCAGTCTGTTCCCTATGTCCATGTCTTTGGATCTATTTTGTTTATCAGTTTATTTTGTTCATTATATTCCACAAATAAGTGAAATCATGATCTTTGTCTTTCTCTGATTGGCTTATTTTGCTAAGCATAATACACTACAGGTCCCTCCATGTCATATCAAAGGGTAAGAGATCTTTCTTTACAACTGCATAATCTATTCTGTAAATATACCACAGCTTTTCTATCCACTCACCTATTAGATGGACACTTGGGCTGTTCCCAGATCTTAACTATTGTAAATAGTGCTGCTGTGAACATGGGTGCATATATTCTTTCTGATTGGTGTTTCTGGATTCTTAGAATATAGTCCTAGAAGTGGGTTCACTGGATCAAATGGCAGTTCCATTTTAATTTTTTGAGGAAACACCACAGTGTTTTCCATAGTGGCTGCACCAGTCTGCATTCCCACCAGCAGTGTACTAGAGTCCTTTTTTTCTCCACATCCTCACCAGCATTTGTTGTTTGATGACTTGTTGATGCCAGTTATTCTGGCAGGAGTGAGGTGATATCTTATAGCCATTTAAATTTGCATCTCTCTGATCCTTAGTGATGTTGGGCATTTTTTATATGTCTCTCGGCCATTTGTATGTCCTGTTTGGAGAAGTGTCTATTTAGGTCCTTTGCCCATTTTTTAATTGGGATTGTTTGTCTTCCTTTTGTTGACTTAAATAAGTACTCTATATATTTTGGAAATTAACCCCTTATCAGATGTATCATTGGCAAATATGTTCTCCCATACAATGGGTTACCTTTTCATTTTGATGCTGGTTTCTTTTGCTGCACAGCTTTTTGGTTTGATGTATTCCCATTTATTTATTTTATTTTATTTTTTTTTTGGCATTTATCTTCAGATAGAGTGGGAGAGAGAGAGCGTAAGAGAGAGAGAGAAACATCAATATGAGAGAGACATACTGAGTGGCTGCCACCTGCACGACCCCAACTGGGGCCAGGGACAAACTGCAACCGAGGTACGTGCCCTTAGCGGAAACTGAACCCGGGTTTCTCTGGTCCGTGGACTGACGCTCTAATTGCTGAGCCAAACTGGCCAGTGCCCATTTATTTATTTTTTTAAACTTATCTTTTTTTTTTTTTGGCATGTGCCTCTGGCGGAAACCAAACCCAGGACTGTCTGGTCTGCAGGCTGATGCTCCAACCACTGAGCCAAACTGGCCAGGGCATAAACTTATCTTTATTGTTGACTATATTACAGATATCCCCCCATTTTTCTCCATTGGTCCCCCCATCCACATTCTGCCCCCCTCCTGCCTTCCGTACACTATTGTCTGTGTCCATTGGTTATGTATATATGTATACAAGTTTTTTGGTTTATCTCTTCTCGTCCTCCCTCCCCCTTCCCTTTGAAGTTCATCAGTCAAACAACCAATTTGTACTTCTTAATTCCTTCATCTTTTTCACCCATCCCCTCAGCACCCTCCCATCTGGCAAGCAACAGACACTTCTCTGTATCTATGAGTCTGTTTCTGTTCTGCCTGCTCATTTTGTTTGTAGATTCATTGTTGATAGATATGTATTTATTGCCATTTTATTGTTCATTTTGTTGTTGTTCTTCTCCTTCAAGAAGACCCTTCAACATTTCATATAATACTGGTTTGGTGGTGATGAACTCCTTTAGCTTTTTCTTGTCTGGGAAATTCTTGATATGTTCATTGATTCTAAATGATAGCTTTTCAGGATATAGTAATCTTGGTTGTAGGTCATTGTTTTTCATCACTTTGAATGTCTCTTGCCACTCATTTCTGGACTGCAAAGTTTCTTTGGAGAAATTAGCTGACAGTCTTATGGGAGCGCCTTTGTAGGTAACTAACTGCTTTTCTCTTGATGCTTTTAAGATTCTATCTTGAATCTTTTGCATTTTGATTATAATATGTCTTGATGTTGACCTCTTTGGGTTCATCTGTATGGGACTCTCTGTGCTTCCTGGACTTGTATGTCTGTTTCCTTTACCAAGTTAGGGGTGTTTTCTGTCATTATTTTTTCAAACAGTTTTTCAATTTCTTGCCCTCTCTATTCTCCTTCTGGCACTCCCATGATGCGAATGTTGGTACACTTGATGTTGTGCCACAGGCTCCTTATACCATCCTCATTTTTTAAAATTCTTTTTCTTTTTGCTGTTCTGATTGGGTGTTTTTTGCTTCCTTACATTCCAAATCGATGGTTTGCTTCTTGGCTTCACCCACTCTACTTCTGATTCCCTGTAAATTATTCATTGTTTCATTTAGTGCATCATTCATTATTGACTGGTCTTTTTTTATGTTGTTGATATTCTCACTAACTTTCTTGGAGTTCTTGTTAAGTTTCTTGAAGTTCTCACTAAGTT